TCACCCATCCACAGGGGGCCGGGGGTCACAGGCTGATCCCGCGTCACACACACGCTGCCATCGGGGTGACCTGGGCCCACAGACAGAGCAAGCCTGGTCAAGGCCACTTGGATGATCAGCTGCAGTCTCCCCAGGACAAAGTGATTTGCATTTGAACCTCTCCGCCATTTGCAGCCATTTACCAGGTTCCCAAGTGGCTCAAAGACAAGGAGAAGCACAGATGACCAGAGGGGCCCAGGGCTGGACTGGCGGGCACTCCACGCTGACCCTCGAGGGCACACTGGGGAGCCGCAGGGTGCTCCYGAGCAGGAACCCAGCTGGCGGTCTGTGCGCCCTGGGTGGGGGGCTCTCTGTTCAGCATCTCCTCCCAGCCCGTGCGGGCCTCACCACGGGATGGGGTTTGGTATGCAGCAGGTGCTCCATAAGTGAATACATAGCCTGGGGAGCCCTCTAAGACTCGAGCAGTGCACTTATAAGGGCAGAGTCAGGCGTGGCCGTGGAGTACATGAGGACGGGGCGGGGTCCTGGCGAACTGGCAGGGTGGGCCCCTGGGGCTGGGAGCCGGGACTGTGAGTCAGAGGTCAGCGCTCCGGGCCCTGCACCCGGCTGCTGCCCAGGTCAGAGGTGCAGTGTGGACCACTTGGGGGTGGACGTCCCTCCAGGAGCAGGACACCATGTCTCGCCTGCCTTTCCTGTGGGGCCCTGAGGGGAGGAACAAGCCCTGGGTGAGTCCAGGCAGCCTCTAGAACTCTCTGCCCACCTGCACCCCGCCAGGCGCCCCAGACCCGGGGGACCCAGCAAGGCCAACCCCGGGACGTCCCTCCCTTCCCATGAGACTGGTGGCAGGTCCTGCTGCTCCCGGACCTGGCCTTCCTTGGAACCCTGACTGGCTCCCGGACCCTCGCCCGCCCAGGGCGCCCCAGCCCCCCAGAGAAGCCCCCAGGGACAATCTCCAAACCACCTGCCCCACCATCGGGACGGCGGGGCCCCAGGAGGACAGACCCTAAGGACAGGCAAGACCCCCCAGCTGGGTGGGGGGCAGGAGGCCTGCTCCTGGTCCCCCCAGGTGACCCCAGACGTAGCTAGGACTCGCGTGCCAGGGACGGCCATGGGAGCACAGGATCCTGGGACCTTCACTTCAGGTGGTGTTTCTTCTTTCTGCACCAAGGACTGAACTCAGGGGCACTTAACCACTGAGCCACGTCCCCAGCCCCCTCCCTTTTTTGTGTGCAAGGCAAGCGCTCCACCAGCTGACCTGTACCCCCAGCCCCTTTTTATATTTTATTTAGAGACAGGGTCTCACTGAGTTGCAGGGGGCCTCGCTATATTGCTGAGGCTGGCTTTGAACTGACGATCCTCCTGCCTCAGCCTCCTGAGCTTCGTGGGTGTCAGGCACATGCCACGGCGCCCCGCACGATTCATGACAAATGACGCCTGTGCGGCCAGCCGGCGGGGACAAGGCTCGATAGGGCTGGGCGGCGGCACGGGGTGCCATCCAGGCCAGTGGGTCCCTCTGGTGGAGCCAGGAGCGGGGGAAGGCTCAGGGGATGGAGATGGCCGTTGTCCTGTCTGCGCTCTGTGGACGTAGTCACTGTGCCCCGCGGACAGGCCCACTGTCCTGGGACGATTTAAAACCAGGAGAAGCCACAGGCCTGGGCCTTGTCCTGCCCCGTCCACACCAGGCAGAGGCTGACCTCCCCAGGAGCCCTGTCCCTTCYCCTCTCCTACCTCCCTCTAAATGTCCCCACACGAGAAGCTCACCTCAGCCTTCCCGAGGCTGGGAATCCCTGGTCTCCCATGACTCCTCGGCAGCCCCTTCAGGCTCTGGTTTCCAAAGTCCCAAGGGTCCACCCCATGGCCCCTCTCCTGCCTCCACCTGGACCCTCCGCCCTCCGCCTGATCCCGCTCCTGCCTCACCCAAGCCTGTCCTCCCTGCAGCCACCAGAGGGCACCTGTGAGCACTTGCGTCCTCCCTGGCTCCGCCTCTCTGGTTCCACCTGTGTCCTCCCCCACCCAGCCTCCCTGCCTTCCTCCCCTCTCTCCACCTGTCCTCGGCTGCAGCCCTGGGCTCTAGCTGTGCCTCCTCCTGCCCCGGCCTCTGCCCAGAGGCCCTCAGCCGGGAGCACCTCCCCCAGCTCCCAGGGCCCTCTGCCCCTCCTGCTGTCTAACTGCCCTCGGCCTGGGTGCCTGTCACCTGGCCTCTCCTGTCACAACCCAGGCCAGGGCCACCTCCTCAGAGCGGCTCTCAGGAGTCCTCCTGCGCCTCATTCCCCTCTGACTCTCCCAGGACCATCTGTCTCCCTGGGGACCACAGGCTTTCTTGAGATAGGGACTGTGTCCCTTCAGGACCCATCTCATCAGCTGGGCATTGTGTACACAGTGGGCGCTCCATAAATGCTAAAGCAACGGGCCAGAGCCCAGCGGGCTGCTGTTTCTTCAGGGTGTTCTTGGGTTTCCGACAGACCCGGTAGGTCACGGGGGGTGACCCCAACCTCCCCCGGCCCAGGGACAGTCAAACAGCCTGCGTCCTCTGCCCCCCACCAGCCGCCAGGGCCCCGTCCTCCGGTGGACACGCCCCGCGGGGACGGCAGCCCCGCCCACCCCGCCCTCGGGTTCCCGCGGACAGCGACCTGCGGGGGACCGACTCTCAGCCCTGCAGGGCTTTGAGCAGAGCCCTGCCTGTCCCCACCAGGGGCCAGGGGCCCTTTTCAGCTGCAGAAACCTTGAGACACCAAGTGTCCCCTCCCCCCCAGAGACCCTGGTTTGGGGGATGGAACAGTGCCCGCATCCCGTGCTGCCGCGGGTGGGGCGGGCGGGCGCCAGGCCAGCACCCACGCACAGCCACCTGCTGGGGCGGGAACACAGGACCTGTCCCCGTGTCTGTCGCCAGCTGGACTCCGGCAGGTGCAGCCTGGATTCCCGGGTGGGGCCGGCAGCCCCCCACCCGCGGTGCTGCCCCCTGTGGCCGATGTGGGGGGCTGAGCTGCCCAGGTTATCCAGTAGGTGCTCAGCAAGCCCGAGTGTGGGTGGAAGGTGTTGTTTTCTGAGGATATATTCCACTCATTTATGTTTAGGTGGTGCTGAGAGCGGAACCCAGCGCCTCACCCACACGGGCAAGTGCTCTGCCCCGAGGCCCACCCAGCCTGAAGGTGTTCTTAATTTCTTGTTTAATAGAAGTAGATGGACACCGAGCCTTGATTTTCTTCCTTTATGTGGTGCTGAGGGTCGACCCAGAGCCTCCCGTGTGCGAGGCAAACGCTCCAGCTCTGAGCCCCAGCCCCAGCCCAGGGGAAGGGGTTCTGCATTGGGTGAGTAGGGGCTGGGGGCCATTTACTGAGCACCCAGGGAGCTGCGGGCCATCTCTGGGCCTTTCGCTGTCTACTGGGCGGCTGTGCAGAGCTCCGGGAGACCGTGCCTCTGTGGCTTGGGCCCAGCCTGAGGCAGGTTCAGTCAACACCCCCATTTGCAGAAGGGAAACTGGGGTGCAGGGCTGGTCCGCTGCTTGCTGCTGAGAGGCAGTGGCATGGGGTAGTGGGTCACATTACTGTCTTACTCCAGGCCCCTTTAATCTTCCAGTCCACTCTCTGATGTAGGAGCCATTATTTCTCCCAGTTACAAAGTGGAAATTGAGGCCCAGAGAGGGGAAGTAACTTCCCTGTGGTCACACAGTGAAGAGGTGAAAAGGCTGGGATTTGAGTCCTTCCGCCCTGAAGTTCCCAGGAGGCCTCCAGAGGCGATCTGGGAGAGGCTTATTCTAGTAGGCGGTGGAGGGTCCCTGAGGACCCTTGGACTGGTGCTTTGGATAGAATTTCAGGAAGGGGTAAGAAGTCATTTTGGGGGCCTTCAAAGTTTCCAGCCGATTGAGGGGCTGGCCTTGCACTCGGGCAAGCGCTCCACCGCTAAGCTACACCCTGGGTGCTCGGTAAACTTCTATTTTGAGACTGGGTCTCCCTAACTTCCCTGGGGCTGGCCTTGAACTTGTGATCCTCCTGCCTCAGCCTGAGCTGCGGGATTACGGGCTGGGCCCTCATGTTTTCACTCTCTCCTTGGCACACCCTTGACCGACTCTCAAAACCCTACCTGCAGTGCCGCCGCTGGGCGCCTCCCTCCTCCCAGCCTGGACACCACCAACCCCAAGCCTCAGGGGCAGGTGGGCGTGGCCACAGCTGGGCGCAGGTGTCTTTCTCTTCCCGGGGGAAGCCCTGTGGGGAGGAATCACTGCCAGCTCCCCAGCGCAGGTCACTCCTGCGCCCACCCCAGGTAGCAGCTCTGCTGGCCCCGGCGGCCCTTCCTGGTTCCTACCTTCCCCACCACCTGGGAGGGTGAGGCCCACCTTCTCTCCCGGAGCCCAGGGCATTCCCTCCGGTGCCCCCCTCCTCGACCTCCCTCTGCAGCTGGGGTCTGGGCAGGTGGGAGCGGAGGGGCCTCGGTGCTGGCCAAGGTGCCTCTGGAGAAAGGCGGTGCTGCTGGCCTCCCGGGCCTCGGTTTCCTGGAGACTGGCCTCCTGGGGACGGGGTGGCCCGGGAAGCACCACAAGCTCCTGGTCCCGGAGGCCTCCCAGAGGAACCTCGAAAAGTGCCCCTTTCGCGGATGGGAAAACCTCCCAAGTCTCCGGCTCCGTTCCGAGCGGCAACCCCCTGCCGGGTCTTCCTCCCAGCCGGGTCCTGCGGGGCTCCGGCCCCAGACGCCCGCGAGTGCTCGGCTGCGCGGAAAGTCCGGCCCGGAGTTCCCGCCCCGGGCCTGGAACCTGGATGGAGGGAGGGGGCCCAGACGGCCCTCGCGGCTTCCCGGAGGCGTGTCCGGCCGGGGCGGGGCGGCCAGGGACCTGAGGAGGAAGAGGGCAGGTGCCGTCGGAGCCGCCGAGCGGGTGGAGGAGGGCGAGGGCGGGTCCGCACCAGGCCGCGACCCTCTCGAGCCTCTCCCCCTACCCCGGCGTGGGGTCCGATTGTCTGTTTCCAGGCCCCCGCGGCCGGGGCAGCGGGCGAGCCCCAGGGTGGACCATGGCGGTGAGATTCCAGGCAAGTAGCCCGCCGCGGCCGGAGCGGGTGGGGATCCGGTGGGGCGCAGGCGAGGGCGGCTCAGGAGTCGGACCCGGGACCCCCGACCCTCCACCTGCCGACGGAAGGGGAAGGTGGTCGCCAGCCGCGGGCTGCACCGCGGGGAGCGAGGCCTTCCCCGCCGCGGTTACCCTGGGTCCGRGTTCGAGCTCCGCCTCCTCTGCCCACCGCGCTGCCTGGCCTCGGGCCCGCTCCCTGTCCCCCGGTCCGTGGGGAGGGTCCGGGGAGGGGTTTCAAGCGCGCGGGGGCAGCGAGTGTCCCGCGAGACCTCCGGCCCGGCTGCGGGCACTGAGCCGCCGCTTATGGGGCGCCTACTGTGTACCGAGCCGTCGGTGGGCGGCGTCGTGCCCGAGGGCTTGGCCCGGAGCGGAGCCCGAGCGCCCAGCTCCTTCGCACCGCCTCCAGGGTGACCCCAGGGCCACACCTGGCGTAGCCACTCCGCCCGGGTMGGCGCGGGCGGGTCTCGTCCCGTCTTCGCTGCCTCCAGGCTGCGAGGAACTGCCCGGTCCCCTCCCAAGCCCGGAGTCAGTCCCCCAGCCTCCCTCCCTGCCATTGTTCCTGGGGGCAGGGGAGGGGGGGAGCGGGCAGCAGCCAGTGTTTCTCCCGCGGGSGCGGGGACAGCTCCCCACAGCTCACCTTGAGCAGGCGGGGCCAAACCTGCTGGAGTCCTTGCACCTTCACCTGCTCTCAGACAGTTCTCCCAGCGCCAGTCCTGTGGGGACGAGGCAGCAGTCCCCAGCCCCCAGCCTGCCCACCTGGAGCTCCAGGCTGGGGACCCGGTAGGGGAGACCGCAGACTCTGAGGTCCCAGGCCCAGGTGATCGGGCCTGGTCCAGAGGGAGGGGTGGGAGGGGTCAGGGCCCTGGGCTGTGAGGGGTGAGTAGGAGTTTGCCCTGGAGCCAGGTGGCTTATGGGAGGGCCCAGAGGAGGGACAGACTTACCTCCAGGTGATGGAGTGAGGTTGGGTTCAGAGGGTGGATAAGAACAGGTACCGAGAGCAGGGAGCGTCCTGGGGGCCCAGGGGAGCAGTCATCTGGTGGCCAAGGGGACTCCTCATGTCCCAGGATGTCCCCGGCACAGGGGACAGCTGGAGTGGAGCCAAGCTGAGGTGGGCCCTGTTGGGCTTAATGCCGGGGCATGGGAGCCCGGGGTTCCGGCCAAGCTGTGGTGTCCAGGGAGACAGCCCACTCCAGCAGGCAGGGACAGGCCCCGCCCCCAAAGGCCTGGCCCCTGGGGGTGTCTTAAAGTAAAGCYGGGAATGCAAGGGGGGCAGGGCAGTGTGCCGAGTGCTGCCCCAGAGCCACTCCACCGTCCTGGAGACTGTTGGAAAAATACCTTCAGAAGCCAAACAACAGTGACCCAAGGTGACGCTGGGCTCAGGGTCGGCTGCCAGGGTTCCCCACTGTGCCTTGGGGCCCTGGGAAAGTTGCCGAGCCTCTCTGGGCCCCTCACACCCCACCGGGGCCAGTGGCCTCCTCCTTCGTTCCTCTCCACACAGCCCTGAGCCCGCGAAGGGCAGCACAGGCTTCTCAGGGGGATGCGGAGGCGTGGGGTCGGGGCAGAGGTGGCAACCTGGCTCCCTGGGGAGCCTCGGGGGGGCTGCCCACCCGCTGGGCCATCTGCTGGTCCAGCCTCCCCAGACTCCCCAGGCCTGGTCTCGAGTCCCTGCCTGCCCACCTGGAAGCCCACCTGGGGACGTGTAGGGGAGACACAGATTGTGACACTTCAGGCCCCCTAGTCAGGGTGGTCAGAGGGAGGGGGAGTGTGCGGGGTCCAGGACCCGGTTCCAGGGGCCAGGCAAAGGCGCAGGCTGAGGAGACTGAGCGGGAGCTGCCCGGAGCAGGCCGCGGGCTTCACTGCCAGTTGCTCAGGGCCTGCCCATGGCTGGAGGCCGAGGCAGGAGGAGCGCAGGTTCAGGCCAGCCCCGGCAGCTTCTCTAGGAATCTGACACGGCCGGTGCCCGCTGGGTGCCTGGTGGAGACAGCCCCTCCCTGCCTCCTGCCTCCCGGGGCCTTCTCTCCTCCTGTGTGAGGGGATGCGGGCCCTCTGTCCCTCACTGACCGGTGAGCGAGTACCTCTGGAAGCCCGCGTGGCCTGGTGTGGTCAGAGGGCTGTGACCATAGCCTCTCTTCCTCCAGACTCGTGTTCTGGATAGAAGGAGATAGACACGAACAGAGGAAAGACTAGGGGCCCCAGGGGGACAGGGGTGTGTCCCGCGGGAGGGGCTGCAGTTCCCGACAGGGTGGTCAGGGCCCACCTTACCCYGGAGGCCACGTGTGAGCAGAGACCTTGGAGGGTTTGGGGTGCTCCAGGGGGGGAGGGCACAGCTATGCAAAGGCCCTGGGGCAGGGGGAGCCCTCGTGTTGGAGGGCCAGTGAGGCTCTGCGTGGCTGGAGAGGAAGAGCCTGGAAGGGGCCGGGCAGGTCACATGGGGCCTCCTGGGCCACAGGGAGGACTTGGGCTTTGTCCCTGAGGGCTGTGGGTGCCCTCTGTGGCTGCAGCAGGAAGGGCAGGAAGGGGAGGTGAGGACAGCACTGGGGACCTGGTGGAGGTGGCTCTGTGGTGTCTGTGAGCCAGGATGGGGGTGGAGGCGTCCCCTGGGGACCCCGGAGGCAAACCCATTCTGCAGGTAGGAAAACCGAGGTCCCGAGTGGCAGCGGGACCAGGGGGAGGGGGTCGGGACAGGAGCCCGAACCTGCTCTGCGGCCTGCGTGGCCTAACGCCACCTCCCGTCCCTCTGTCCAGGTGGCCAGCATGGAGGCGCTGACCATCTGGGAGCAGCACACGGCCACACTGTGCAAGGTGAGGCTGCGTCCAGCACCGGGTGGCCCTGCCCAGCTCCAGGCGGGACCCCCGGCCTGGGCCAATCCCTCTGGCCTCTCCCCAGGACCCCCGCCGGGGCTTCGGCATAGCCATCTCCGGAGGCCGGGACCGTCCCAGTGCRCCCGGGGGATCCGTGGTGGTGTCTGACGTGGTGCCCGGAGGGCCGGCCGAGGGCAGGCTGCTGTGAGGACCCGGGGGCCTGGGCCCGTCCTCCTTCCCTGGGCCCTCCCTGCCGTTCTTGGGGACCAGTGGCCCTGGGCCCTGCGGGAGCGGGAACCCCGGAAACCCTCAGGGCGGGAGGGAGGCTCCTGGGGCCGGATGGATGCGGAGATGGCCCCGCCAGGGCCCAGCCCAGCCCCACGGGGGACCAGGTTCCGAGGCGGGCGAGGGAGGGTCAGACGCCCTCGGCTCCAGGTGGTGCCCGTGGGAGGAGGACGTGGCCGGGAGGCGTGGGAGGCGGGGGTGGGTCCCCGCGGCCCCTCCTGAGCCGCGTCCCCGCAGGACGGGCGACCACATCGTGATGGTGAACGGGGTCTCCGTGGAGAGCGTCTCGTCCGCCTTCGTCRTCCAGATCCTCCGGACCTGCGCCAAGGTCGCCAACGTGGTGAGTGCGCCCCTGCCCGGGTGCCGTCCTCCACCTCGCCGGGCCCCCGTTGCTGGCTGCCCGGGATCCCACTGGGTCAAGGCCCCGTGGGTCCCCGGGGCACCCAGCGTTAAGCCCTCCTGCCCACTGACCTCTCCTGTCCACACCCCGACAGACAGTCAAGCGTCCCCGGAGGGTCCAGCTGCCGGCCACCAAGGCCAGCCCCTCTAGCCCGGGGCACCCGGACTCGGACGAGGAGGACGGGCCTAGGCGGCTGGAGGAGCCTGACCACGGCCAGGGCTACGAGGGTGACTCGTCCAGCGGATCTGGCCACTCCTGGGGCGAGCGTTCCCGCCGGGCCAGGGCTGGTCGCCGCAGCTGGGCCAGCAGCCGTGGGCGCAGGAGCCCGGGCGGGGGCTCCGAGGCCCCCGGGCTGGCCCTGGTGTCGGGCTTCAAGCGGCTGCCGCGGCAGGACGTGCTGATGAAGCCCCTGAAGTCGGTCCTGGTGAAGAGGAGGGACAGCGAGGGTGAGCGGCCGGCCGGTGTCCCCAGACGGGCACCCCGTGTGGCCCCACGCGAGGGCCCCCAAGGCGTCAGTGTCCTCCCCTGCAAACCCGAGGCCACGTCCCCTCCCACTGCAGAAGGGTCATCGAGGGACCCTGAGCTGGGTCACAGGGCCCGGGGGACGGTGCCCAGACACGGCCTCAGTCCCCCCCCCCCCCCGCCCTGTGCAGAGTTTGGGGTCAAGCTGGGCAGCCAGATCTTCATCAAGCACATCACCGAGTCCGGCCTGGCCGCCCGGCACCGTGCGCTGCAGGAAGGAGACCTTATCCTGCAGGTGAGCCTGGGAGACCCAGGCCAGGGCCCGCGGTGCCCTGAGTCACTCAGCGAGGTGGCAGAACCAGTCCCCAAACCATTTTCCTTCTGTGTGGCTGGAGGTGGCCGGGTACCAACTCCCCTCCTTTCACTGGTGTGGGACCACAGCCAAATGTCGGTTTCTAGTGTCCCCTTGGGTTGGACATTTCTAGTACCCTGGAGCCGCACCAGGCCTCCGAATCCTGTGGCCTGCTGGCTGCAGTGCTGAGCCCTGGACTGCCCTGGCTGGCGGGGGGCTAACGGCCCACAGCTGGGACCTAGGACCTCAAGCTGCTCCTGGTGCAGGGCTCTAGATGCTTCCAGCTGTTTGCTTCTGGGGGCTTGTTAGACTTGTCTGTTTCTAGCGATCCTGAAGAACTGTCTGTTTCTAGTGGCCTGGGGCAGACACTAGAAACAGATAACTTGGTGGGGGCACTAGAAACAGATAACTTGGTGGGGGCACTAGAAACTCTCAGTCCCCAGGATGGCTGAGAACAGACGCTCCCCAGGGGAGCCTTCCTAGGACCCGTTCCTGACCCGCCGTGGGGTCTGCTCCCAGCTTCAGTAGGTGCCCACCCCTCGCCTTCTGCTTGAGAGGCCCTGGTTTCACCTTCAGATCTGCTCCTCACACAGAGGCYAGGAGGCTCCACCTGATTCTCTTCCCCCTGGGTCCCTTGCTCGCCCTCAGGGGAGCTGTTTCTCATGTTCTGTGGCCGGTCTGTTCTTGGCAGCGTCTCCATCCACAGCAAGAATCCAGGTCTCAGGGCACACTGTGATCTCAGAGGCTCGGAGGCTGAGGCAGGAGGACTGCAAGTTCAAAGCCAGCCTCAGCAACTTAGGGACGCCCTAAGCAACCCAGAGAGACCCTGTCTCTAAATACAGTATAAAAAGGGCTGGGGGTGGCTGAGTGATGAAGCGCCCCTGGGTTCGGATCCCCAGGACCAAACAGAAACGCACTTCTGACCTTTGTCCCGGGGAGTGTCTGTTTCTAGTGCCCCTGGAGAGTGTTTCTGGGCTCTCCTCCCCACCAAGCCTCATTTTCTCCTTCTGTTCTTCCTTCTCGGTCCCTTTCAGATCAATGGCGTGTCCAGCGAGAACCTGTCCCTGAGCGACACCAGGCGGCTGATCGAGAAGTCGGAAGGGCAGTTGACTTTGCTGGTGCTCAGGGATCGGGGGCAATTCCTGGTGAACATCCCACCTGCAGTCAGTGACAGTGACAGCTCAGTCCTGGAAGGTGAGGGGTCAGGAGGCAGCCCCAGACCGGGCCAGGCAAGAGCCAGCGGCCTGCCCCTGGCTCAGAGAGTGGTAGGAACCTGCCCAAGGCCACACAGCACATGGAGGCTGGAGCCTCCCGAGGCTGATCTTCTCACGGAAGCTCCTCCTGGTCCTGAGCCTTCGTGTCCATCTGGCCTGGTGGGCATGGCCCTGGCTGACGAGCGTCCCTCGCCCACAGACATCTCGGACCTCACCTCGGAGCTGTCCCAGGCGCCCCCATCTCACATCCCGCCACCCCCCCAGCAGGCGCACAGGCCGCAGAGCCCGGAGGCCAGCCCGGCGGACTCCCCCRGGTGCGTACCTGGGCGGGAGGAGGGGGCGCCGGCTCAGCGGTTCCCAGGAGGGCAGCTGCAAGGGTGGGACTTACGTGTCCAGCCCTGCTGTGCCCGTGGGCGCCGGTCACTGTCCACAGGGCAGGGGACAGCAGCGCTGGCCTCCTCTCCCGAGGACCCGTCCCAGCAGAGCCTCCCCTCCCAGCACCATCCCCCGCCCTGTAGGGCTTCTGTGCCCGTGTGTGCCGGGGAGGACGCCCCATCCACGCACCCCCAGGAGGTCGTCCGTGATAAATTGACACTGGGCGTGCGCAGCCCGGGCCCTGGGAGGGTGACGGGGACCACCTGGGCCACCAGCCACACCCACCTAAAGGCCTCCTGTCCGGGACCTGGTCCCCTCCAGGGAGCACCCGCGGCCTCGGCAGGAAGGGCCGGTGGATCCCAGGACCTTTTTGGACCGAGGTGGGTGAGAGGGGGGTGGCCGTGACTCTGAGCACCCTGCCCTGGGTTTCCGGGTCCCAGCCTGGGAGGAGGTGGCGCGAGTTGAGGAGAGCCGGGGACAGTGGGCAGCCGGGGACAAGGAGTGGCCTTTCCCTTTCAGACTCGCCCTCGGGGAGCAGCTATGACCTTTACAGGGTGCCCAGCCACCAGGGCCTGGAGGACCGCGGGTGTGTACCCCGGAGGCCAGCCCAGCGGCCCAACTGCCACCTCCCAGGGCAGCTCCCCCGCGGCGCTGTCCTGTCTCCTGAGTGGCTGCAGGGGACCGGCACGTGGGGCTCATTGGGAGACCGAGGCGGGGGTGAGGGTCCCTCCCGTTGCGCTGGCTGACCCCGGCCTCCTGCAGGTACAGCCCCGACACGCGGGTGGTCCGCTTCCCCAAAGGCGCGAGCATCGGGCTGAGGCTGGCCGGCGGCAACGACGTGGGCATCTTTGTGTCAGGGGTGCAGGCGGGCAGCCCGGCCGACGGGCAGGACATCCAGGCCGGAGACCAGATCCTGCAGGTGACGCGGGGCCTCCCCGGCACCTCGCGCCCACGTGTCTTCCCTCAGCCAGCCTCGCGTCCGTGGGAGCCGTGTGCGTGCCCCCTGACCCCTGTCCCCACCATGGTGCCTTGACCCCTCCCTGCGATGTCATCTCTGCCAGGACGCTGGCTGAGGGCCTCGGGACCACCCAGCGCCTGCTCCTCAGGGGCTGGGGACAGAGCCCAGGCCTCCCACACGCTGGGCCAGCACTGACCCCTGAGCCCCGCCCCCGCCCTTTTTATACTTGAGTCAGGGTCTCACTGAGTTGCTGAGGCTGGCCTCCAACTGCAGCCCTCTCACCTCAGCCTCCCACGTGGCCGGGCTGACAGGCATGGCCACTGTCCAGCTGTCCCTACTCCCTCGAGTCCCGTCCCCATGTCTCTGTCGCTGGTTGTGCGTGCACTGAGCAGGTCCTGCCCCAGCTTCTGTGTCTCGGTCTCCAGGGCGGCCATCCCTGGGAGGAGGCCCGAGGGCAGCCGGGCACTCTCCTGTCCGCCCTCCCTGGCAGGTGAACGAGACGTCCTTCCGGAACCTGACGCGGGAGGAGGCCGTGCAGTTCCTGCTGGGGCTGCCGCCGGGCGAGGAAGTGGCGCTGCTGATGCAGCGGAAGCAGGACAGTGAGTGGCCGGCGCTGGGCAGGGGCCACCCACGCTGCAGGACGCGGCCCCAGAGGTCCCTGGGGAGGCTGGCCCGGGCCCTGGGAGGAGCTCACGTCCCCCTCCGTCCCCCTCCGTCCCCCTCGCCCAGTCTTCCAGAAGATGGTGCAGTCGCGGGTGGGCGACTCCTTCTACGTCCGCACGCACTTCGAGCTGGAGCCGAGCCCGCCCTCGGGCCTGGGCTTCACGCGGGGCGACGTCTTCCACGTGGTGGACACGCTCTACCCAGGCCCTGGGCCCGGTCACCGCGGAGGCCACTGGCTGGCGGCGCGCATGGGCCGGGATCTGCGGGAGCAGGAGCGCGGCCTCATTCCCAACCAGAGCAGGTGGGTCCCTGGGCCCGGCCCGCCTYGGCTCCCGCCACACGTGGGTCTTCACCAGGGGCACTCGGTGGCCCTGAGCGGCTCCCCGTGGCTGCAGCAGCCGGTGACAGCAGAGACCCTGAGCAACAAAACCCATCTCCTGGGTCAGCTCAGAGCCCATGGCCGGGGACAGTCTGCGGCCAGGGACAGTCCGTGGCCCTCCCCAGCTCCAGAGCAGCAGCGTGGTCTTCGGCCCTGACTCTGGCCCTCCTCCCCCTGCCATGAGGACCCTGGGGGACCTGGGGACCAGGGCAAGGTGTCTCCAGGTGGACTCTGCCCAGCTCAGGGCTGTGCCTCTCCCCAGGGCCGAGCAGCTGGCCAGCCTGGAGGCCGCGCAGCGGGCAGTGGGCCTGGGCCCCGGCGCCTCGGGGGCCTCCAATGCGCGTGCTGAGTTCTGGCGGCTGCGGGGTCTCCGTCGAGGAGCCAAGAAGACGACCCAGCGCAGCCGGGAGGACCTGTCCGCCCTGACCAGGCAGGGCCGCTACCCGCCCTATGAGCGCGTGGTGCTGCGAGAAGGTGGGTGGGGACACAGGGACACCATCCCGCCCGCAGCAGAGGGAAGAGGACCAGGCGGTCCCTTAAAGTCTGACCCGTTTCCCACCCGTTTCCGAGAGGAGCGGAGTAGGAAGCAGCGTCGGGCGAGTGCCCAGCCCCTGGCGTCGCCCGTCCGCTCTGCAACTGTGGCCSGAAAGTGCCCCTGGGTCACACGTCCCTCCAGGACAAGCAGACTCTTCCCGTCATCAGGGTAACTGTCCCGAGGGGACCAGAAGTCCCAGCAGGTCCGAGCAGACGCCACGGGCATTTTATCGAAGGGACTCAGCATCTTGATCTCAGTGTCTGTGGGGACAAGGGTACCGAGGGACCAGGGTGACCTGAAGAAGGAAGAGTCGAGATAGTTTCAGTGACTCGTTTAACTGCTGTATCCCAAGTATGATCTCAGCCAGGGCCGACCTGAGATGGTGCCGGAGGGGCCTTGTGCCTGCCCGACCTGCACCCCGCCACCCAGCTGCGTCCCTTTGGGGAGGGAATGTTCTAGGTGAGGGGGCGGGCGATGCCAGGCAGCCCCGTGCAGGTGCGGAGTCTTCTAGACTGTGTGAGCCAGCCTGTGTGCAGGCTCAGGTGTCCAGGGTGGTCTCTGACGTTCCACCCCAACGTGGACCCCAGGGCTCAGCCCGGCTGTGGCCCCCAGAGCCACGGGCAGCAGCTGCCCTGGTTCTGGGGAGGAAGGGCGACAGGAGACCTGCCGCAGAGCAGGCCCAGGCGGCTGTCCCCGGGACACGTTCTGTGCCTCTCGTCTTCTTCCCGTCTGTTAGGCCGGGACCAGCGAGCGGTCCTGAGGAGGGCTGGCCAGGGGGTCTCTGCGGGAAGGCAGGCACAGGAGGACGCAGCCCGTGGATACGGCTGTGTGCCAATCAGACCGCACTTACAAAAGGAGCACCGGGCCAGGGTGGCCCCGGGTCCCAGGGGGCTGACCCGGGTCAGGGGTGGTCTGCAGTTGAGGCAGACCCAGAGAAGAGCAGCTGAATCCAGATGGAAGTGTCTTTGACCCCAGGGCCTCAGGGGTGTCTGGCCAGCGCTCCACTGTGAGCCACACCTGCCCTGCGTCCTCTCCAGCCCGGGGGGGCCGGGAGGGGGCTCTGCCCCAGGGACAGTGACCCAGGAGCCCCCACGGCAGCCCCACTCGCATTCCATTGGCCAGAGCTCACCAATGTCCCTAGCTGCAAGGGAGACTCAGAGATGGGGTCCTCGCTGGGTACCAGGGCCCTGCCGGAGGCCGCTGTGGGGGTGGGGTGGACAGTTTGCAGTGGCCCTTGCCGCACACATCCCGGTTCTTGCCTTTGTTCTCTGCCCTCAGCGAGTTTCAAGCGCCCGGTGGTGATTCTGGGCCCCGTGGCAGACATTGCCATGCACAAGCTGACGGCAGATCTGCCTGGGCAGTTTGAGATTGCAGGTGAGGAGCCAGGTGCTGGGAGCCAGGTCCCGGGGAGGCAGGTGAGGAGACAGGTGCTGGGAGGCAGGTGAGGAGCCAGGTCCCGGGGAGGCAGGTCCCGGGGAAGC